CTACAGCAGCTTGGAGAAGAAAAGTGAACGGACTATGCACTAATCCAGGCCATCATGTCTGCCCGGAGGGGAAAGGGTGTTGCTCCCTTCCGCCCTCTCTTCTCTGGAAAGAAAGATGGCGGCCGCATGGGAGCCTTGTGGACAGCAGGTATGAGCTGGGGGTGCGGGGGCGACAAAAAAACTCATGGGAAGGGGGGCGTTCCAGTCCATCCTTCACGCCCTACCGAGGTCACCAGTTGCCCCCCACAAGCAGCTCTCCAGCACGGCCACGGCCCCATAGCACAAGGACTTAATGCAGAACCCAGCAGCTTGGAGCAGAAAAGTGAACGGACTATGCGTTAATCCAGGCCATCATGTCTGCCCGGAGGGGAAAGGGTGTTGCCCCATTCGCCCTCTCCTCTCTGGAAAGAAGATGGTGGCCACATGGGTGCCTTGTGGAGAGCAGGTGTGAGCCGGGGGTGTGGGGGCGACTAAAACCTCATGGGAAGGGGGGCATTCCAGTTTGTCCTTCACGCCCTACCGAGGCCGCCAGTTGCCCCCCACGAGTGGCTCTCCAGCACAGCCACGACTCCAGAGCACAGAAACCAATCTCTTAATTATCTGACTCACAGTAGAAATACTTCCAGGGTTAATTAGCAAAATAGCGGAAATCCAAAACCAACATTCAATTCTTGAACCCAGCTGTAGAAAGCGAATCACTTCACAATGCTTTCTCAGCATGTCTGATGTGGGGGGAGGGGCTAAACTCTAAATAATAGTGGTGCATCTTTTATTGCAACGATGAATCTAATCAAAGCAGATAGAGTGTCAACTAGAATTCATCTGCCTCGCAGGCATTGGGAGGGGTGGGGGTGGGGTTTTATTGGGGTTCTTCGTGGTAAAAAATAAGTAATGGTAAAGGGAAAGGTGTTTGATATTTGCATGACTGAGACCTAAACCTGAAAGCTTTGTAACTTTTCCCACAGTGATTCAATAAATAAATAATTTAAAAAAAAGACGGGGTAACTAGTGGGGCCAGAGCGATAGTGCAGGGGTATGATGCTTGCCTTATAAGGAGCAGACCGGGGTTTCATCCCTAGCACCCCAGATGGTCTCCTGACCACCCCCCCAAGCCCCACCAGGAATTATCCGAATGCAGAGACAGGAGTGAGCTCTGAGAACCACCTGGTGTGGCACCCCCCCCCGCCCCGCTCCCGCAAATATTATTGTTTTTAAAATAACTGGGTAGGATGGAATAGATGTCTACAGGGTAACACACTTGCCTGGCATGTAAAGGCCCTCCCATTGTTCATCGATTTGCTCAAGCGGGCCCAGTAACGTCTCCATCATGAGACTTGTTGTTACTGTGTCTGGCATATCGAATACGTCACGGGGAGCTTGCCAGCCTCTGCCGTGCGGGCAAGATACTCTCGGTAGCTTGCCGGGCTCTCCAAGAGGGGCAGAGGAATCGAACTCGGGTCGGCAATGTTGGCTGCGTCCAAGGCAAACGCCCTACCGCTGTGCTATCGCTCCAACCCACCTGGCATGACCATCACTTTTTTTTTCCTTCCAACCTGCCCTCTACTTTTGGTCCCTCAGCACCATACCGCTTATTCCTAAACAAAGACAGGAATTATCTTTCAGCTCAGCAGGATGGTGTCCCAAAGCAGAAAAAACAACAACAACAAAAAAAATAATCAGAGGGTATGGTGCCACCAGAAGGTCAATCTGTACCTGTGAGGCGAGTGCATCAGCAGCCTGATGGCACCGTCAGACTTTCAGATACCCCAAAATTGCTGCTGTGCCTTTGGCCAGACCCCAGGAACTTGGGGCAAAGTTTACCAAGAAAGTAAACGGCCCAAAGTTAGGTATGTGGGAGACACACCCACAAACCACCTCCAGCTCAGCTATATAATTGGAGACATGGCCTCTCTGGTTCCTGATCGAACTGCTTGAAGGTCGCAATCCCAGAGACTCAGAAACGAATCTCAGAACCCAGGGGCTTTGGGCAGAAATGTGTCCTGTTCCTGCAGTAGGTTACTGGCGCTGGGCCACTCCAGGTGGGAATAGGTTTCATGCCTTGGCCTGTTCCCCTTGGTGGCCCGGTGACTGCCATCCTCCTGAGACCACTGGACAGTTAGATTTGGGCCTGCAGTGACGAGACATGTGGGGCCTCACCAGATGGGGGTGGAACCGGCCCTTTCCTCCCCATCCCAGCAAGACCCTGAGTCGCCACCTACAAACGGCCTCTCTGGCTCCTGATCAAGCTGATTAATGGTCATGATCCCAGAGACTCAGAAACAAATCTCGAAACCCAGCGGCTTTTGGCAGAAATGCATCCAGACCACATACAAGGTGGCCACCACCTCAGAGCTTATAGGAAAGCCAGGTATGAGCCAGCGGTGACGGGGCAACTGCAGTCTCATGGGAAGGGGGGGCGGTACCAGCTCGTCCTTCATGCCCTACCGAGGTCACAAGTTGCCCCTCACAAGCGGCTCTCTGGCACAGTCATAATACCAGATGCACAGAAACCAATCTTGTAATTATCTGGCTCTTTGCAGAAATCCAACGTCGCGCGGCCGCAATAGCGGCTGCACAACATTATATGATTCTTATAACCAGTTATAGAAAACAAAGTATTTCACAATGCCTTTTCAGCAATTCTAATTGTTGGGGGGCAAATCCTAAACAATAATGGTGAATCTTTTGTCGAAAAAATGAATGTAATCAATGTAGAGAAGAGATAAGTGAAAATCATCTGCCTCACAGGTATTGGGAGGGGTGGGAGGGAGGTATATAGGAGTATTTGGTGGTGAAAAATGAGTACTGCTGAAGAGAAAGGTGTTTGATCATTGTATGACCAAGACTTAAGCCTGAAATCTTAGTAAGATTTAGTTATCTTACTTATTATTTATTAAATCAATAAATAATAATAAATAAATAAATTTAATAAATAAATATAAGAAGAAAAAATTAATAAAATTATGAAAAAAAAGTAAGGTGGAGTTCATGCCCAATTCAATCAGCTAATCAGTGGCTGAATAAATAGCAGTACTCCTACATAAAAAAAATAATCAATGAAATAAAAGTCAGTCAACTCCCAGAAGGCCATGGATTAATAGATTTTTGTTTCATTGAATTTTATTAACGCAAGGTGGTTACTGTGTATGTTTTTACTGTGTTGACATATTTTTTTACTTGTACTTAAGAGTGAATAACATTTTTTTTCAGTATAGAAGCAATGTAAAGATTTTTCTTTAAATAAAAGAGCTTAAACCAAACAAGTGAAATGACTTAAAAAAATATATATCCAATAAAAAGATGGCACACACAGATCATTTAAAAAATACATACGTAAAATTATATATACAGAAATTAAAATGAACAAGGCTTGAGAAATGTAATTCTGCCCCTTGGTCTTCCAAGTGGAAACTGACTTGCAGAGAAGTTGGAGGGGAGGGGAGGGGAGGATGAGAAAGGGGAAAGAGAGGGCAGGGGAGGGGCGGGAGGGCAGGGCAGGGCAGGGCAGGGGAGGAAAGGGAGGGAAGGGACCTTTCCAAGTACTTCAAGGCCCTTTCTCCTTTGATTTCAAATGCCCAAGAAATCATCCAATCGGTCGGCTCAGGTTCAACCTCCCTGATTGGTCGGCTCTTCCGTCCCAGGCCACCTCATTGGCTGCCTGTCGGGCGGGGGCGGGGCAGCTTGTGTCGAGTGGCCAATCGGCTACCGGCGGGGTTCTCTAAGCAACCCTGGTCAGCTCCTGATTCAGTGCTCCTGACCCCTGGTTAGGGAGTCAGACAGGGTGCGACCACCGCCTGGGACAGAGGTTGGCGGGGGGGGGGGGGGGGGGGGTCACTCGGAAGATGGGGTCAGCTGGGGGGGTGGGGCAGGGATACCTTGTAAGGGACTGGCACGAAGGCCAGTGGAACCAGCTCGGGCACCTACTGTCCGAGTCCCGGGGGACCCCGAGGGTGAGGTGGGTGATGACTTTGAGTGCGTGGGGCTGTCTAGAAAGGCCCGGCCAGTGTCCACTTTGCTGGGGACTCTGTCCGCACTGGGGCCAGGGGTTACAAAAGCAGATGAATGGGAATGGGGGTGGGGGCCGGAGTAATAGTCCAGCGGGGAGGGCGTTTGCCTTGCACGTGGCCGACCCGAGTTCAATCCCCGGCCTCCCCTAGGGTCCCCCGAGCACCGCCAGGAGGAGTGCAGAGCCAGGAGGAACCCATGAGTATCTCTGGGTGTGACCCAAAAAGTAAAAAAAAATTGGGGAAGGGGTGACTGAGCCCCGTTGTTCAGCCGCCCTGTGACCCCCCCAAAAAACTTGAGCCTCCCAAGTTGGGGTGCACTGAGGGTATCCCCCTCCAGGCAAAGCAGAGTTGGCATTGGAAGGAGAGGTTCAGGGGTTCAGTCGCACCCAGAGGAGGGAGGAGAGGGCACAGGAAAGGCTGGCGGGACCCCAAGCAACTCTGGAGGGCACTCGGAAGGTTCCAGAAAGGGCTGTCCCCGTGGCCGGGCGGTGGGTAGGGCTCTGTGTCCGACTGTGGGGGCACAGGGTTGTGCATGAGTTCTGAAAGCAGCTCTCTCACAGCCAGCCAGTGGGCAGGCAGGAAGGTGCGTGAGGAGGTTGAGGGGAAGGTCCCTGTGGAGCCCCCAAAAGTGTCTCTGCAGGGCTGGAGGGGTGGGACACCCCACCTAGACTAGGGCCAGGGGCCCCTCCTCCACTAGGCCTGGCTCAGGGATCAGGACCAGGGCGCATCGGGGCCGGGAAAAGCGAACACCAGGGGCCGGAGTGATAGCACAGCAAAGAGGGCATTTGCCTGGCACGCAGCTGACCCGGGTTCGATTCCCAGCATCGCATAGGGTCCCCCGAGCACGGCCAGGATTAATTCCTGAGTGCATGAGCCAGGAGGAACCCCTGTGCATCACCGGGTGTGACCCAAAAACCAAAAATAAAAGAAAAGCGAACCCAGGCTGTGTTGGGGGTGGGGGTCCCCCGTCACCCGCCCCCCAGGACTGGCTGTCTACACCAGGTGAGCTGGATCCTGGTCCTGCAGCTCTTGGAGGGACAGATAGGCATCGGGGTTCGAGGCCAGGCAGGCAGGTGGGGCCTTGACCGGGTCTGGTCCAGGCGGACCGGCCCAGGGCAGCCCAGGGGCCCCCTCCTCGTCTTCCCCCAGATCCGGGCTCGGGCACAGCTGCGCCCTGTTGGGTGCTCCCGGGCCAGGGTGCCTGCGGGGTTGGGGGGCGTCACCTCCGGGGGCCCCGCTCTGCAGGGCAGAGCCCGGCCAGTCCTCCCTGGCCCCCGTGGCCCTCGGGGCCGTGCTGAGGGGGGCCGGGCCCCCCGGGAGCCCCGGGGGGAAGACCAGCAGGTCGTCCCCGGGGGGGAAGCTGCAGTAGGCGTCGTCCTCCCCCGGCTGCAGGGGCAGGGCCGGGAGGAGGGGGGCCCCCGGCACCCCGTCCTCGGGCTCCTCCTCGCAGGGGTCGTAGGTGAAGTAGACCTGGCAGGCCTCGATCTCCAGCGCGTCCGGGAGGTGGAAGAAGAAGTAGCCCTGGTTGGTGAACCCGCTGGGGGAGGGCGAGGGCGGCCCCCGGCCCTGCTGCAGCCGCAGCCACTGGGCGGCCTTGGCCTCCCCGTCCAGCACCTCCAGCGGGGAGATCTCCGGCGCCGGGCCGCCGGGGCTGAAGGCCGACGAGGGGAAGGGCGAGGAGAGCCACTTCTGCGGGGACAAAGCGCAGAAAGCCAGGTGCTCAAGGCCCGCCTCTCCAGGAAGTCCGCCTGGATTGCATCCCTCATTCGTTCCACCAGCCCAGCGTGGGGAGATGTCGGGGTCAGCGCCAGGGCACATCCTCTGGCTCCGAATTGGGGAGGAGTGCAGGGGACATGTTGGTGCAGTGTGGAACCCCCCTGTGCATCCCTGCTCCCTGCCCGGTGCTGGGCTAGGTACCGGGGTCCCCACGGAAGCCAGAGTGCTCAGGAAACCCAAAGGGGCTGTCCAGCCCATCTCGTTCCTGAGCCCACCCCAGGCGCCCCTGTGGGAGGTCTCAGGTGGGCTGGGCCCCGCTGGCCTCAGACTCAGGCGCCCCCAGAGCCCTGTGCTCGGGCCTGAGCTTGATCTGAGCCTGTGGTCACACCCAGAGGACTCATGAGCACTCGTCAGCCCGGGGCTGCGGGGACAGTGGGCCGGGCACACGGGCACCTGCCGGGCCTGTCTGGTCTGTAGCTTCCTGTGTGTCCCGAGGGGCTCTCGGGCCAGGCGGTCACAGGGGCGGACATTGAGCACAGAGAGGGCTGTGACGAGCCCAAGGTCACACAGCCAGAAAGCGTGGGAACGGGAAGAGAACCCAGGCTCCCCTGGGCGCCGCGCCCCTCCTCCCAGCCCCCCTTCACCGTCCCACCCAAGCTCCCCTCCTGCACCCCTCCCCAAGGCCCACCTGGAAATCCCCTCCGTGCTCCGAGCTGAGCTGGACAAAGAACTCCGAGGGGTCTGGAATGTGGCACTTCAGGAATTTCTTGAGCCTAGACAGGGATGATGGGGGGAGCACGGAGATGTGGGCAGGGGGGAGGGGGGTCCCCACTGCCCCGAGGGCCCCGCCCCATGGACTTGCACATTCTGCCCATCGTGTTGGAGACTTTGGGGCCACTTGGTGCTCAGGGGTAGGTGCTCACTTACTCCCAGAAGGGCCAGCTGGGGAGGGGGGTGCCTAGTGCTACCCACTGAGCTGTCTCTGGCCCTGGCCCCCTTGGTGGAGACGGGGTCTCAGACCCCACTTGGAGGGCGCACCGGGTGGGGTGCGGGCGTAGGGCAGGCATACCCCGGGAAGTTATTCGGGGGAACACCCTAGTCAGAGCAGGCGTTGGGTCAGAGTGGGAAGGGTGTGGTAGGGGGAGAGGAGCCCAGGCAGGGGCGTCCTCTGGGATGGCCACGGAGGGCGGCGTGGGACGGGCAGTGCCCTAGAGCACCCGGACCCCAGCCCCTGCCCAGGAGGTCGGCCCCGACCCGGGGGCTTAGACTGGCTCCTGCCCCCCAGGCCCAGACTCTGGGCGGCACCCGCCTGCCTGAGCTCTCACTTCTAGAAGGTTCCCCCTTCCCTCCTGTCCTGGCTTAGGAGGTGCTCCACCCCGCCCCCACCCGGCAGGACCCCACGAGGCCCCGTCTCCCCGTTATCTGGCCCCTGCCCACCGGGGCACCCCTGCCTGGAAGCACCAAGCCCACCGGTGCAGGGGTCACTCCCGCTGCCCCCTCCCCGCCGGGCTGAGCCCGCCCCCACCCGGAAGGGAGGCACGAAGGTGCCCACAGCCTGCACCCCAAAGACCTGCCTGAGTGACGGGCACTCAGGGCGGGCTCCCCCACGTGCCTGTAGGTCCCAGAGGATGCCCGGGGCCAGCAGGGAGCACTGGGCAAGGGAGCAGAGCAGGACAGAGGGGGCATCAGACCCCAGCCGAGGGTCGGGGGAGTAGATACGTACCATCCGCCCACGTGCCAGCTGCTGCTGAGGAAGTAAGTCAACAGGATGAAGACCACCGTCCCGCTGACAGCCCAGACCAGGAGGTACCACCAGGCGAAGGGCTGGGTCTTCTGGGCGGAGGCTGCAGAGAGAGGGGTGGGCCCAGCGCCCCTGCTCACCCCGCTGCCCGGTCCAGCTGGCCAGGGGCACGGCCGCCTCCCCCGGGGAGCTCCGGCATGGGTCCTAGGTCCCACTTTGCAGGGGAGGACAGAGGCAGAGGCGAACCTGCCCCAGCCCTGGTGGAAACTGGGGCTTGAGATTTTTTTCTTTTTTTTCTTTCTTTTTTCATTTTTTTGGGGGGTTACTCCTGGCTCTGCACTCAGAAGTTACTCCTGGCAGTGCTCAGGGGACCATATGGGATGCTGGGAATCGAACCCGGGTCGGCTGCATGCAAGGCAACGCCCTACCCGTGCTGTGCTCTCTCTCCAGCCCCGGGTTTAGGATTTTTGAGATGATTAAAAAAAAAAAAAGACCCATTTGACTTGGCTTCCTCCAAGAGCGTTTGCTTGGCACACTCTTGACCCGGGTTCGATTCCCGGCATCCCATACGGTCCTCCGAACACCGCCAGGGGTGATTCCTGAGTGCAAGAGCCACGAGGAACCCCTGAGCATCCCCAGGTGGGACCCAAAAAGCAAAAATAAATAAATAAGCAAATAAAGGTCTCACCAGCGATGTGGACACGGTTTGGCCAGGAGGCCGGTGACCCCGCCCCGCCCCGCCCCGCCTCACCTGCCCGCCTCGCCCCGCCTCACCTGCCCGGCCCCGCCCCGCCTCACCTGCCCGCGTCCTGAAGGCCAAGGGAGCGCTCCAGGGGCTCCACGCGGGCCGCTCCCCGAGCCGGGGCCGCGCGCGCGCCCGCACCCGCACCTCGTATGGGGTGTCCGGAGCCAGGTTCTCCAAGCAGATCCACTGCTGGTTCTGCGTCAGGAACAGCAGGGGCCCGTCCTGGGCGGACACAGGGAGGAGGGGGGAGTCTGAGACCCCTCCTCTGGCTCCTCCCCGCGCCCCAGACTGCCCCTCCCCACCCTCTTCTGCACGCCCCCTCGGGAAACCCCACACTTCAGTTCTTTTTTTTTAATATTCCCTTTATTTGTTTATTCTTTTTGGGTCACACCCGGTGATGCTCAGGGGTTCCTCTTTTCTCTACACTCAGGAATTACTCCTGGCGGAGCTCGGGGGACCCTATGGGATGCCGGGGACCGAACATGGGTCGGCTGCGTGCAAGGCAAACGCCCTCCTCGCTGTGCTGTCATTCTGGCCCCACACTTCCATTCTGAGTTTGTTTGTTTTTTTAATTTAGTTTTTTTGGGGCCACACCCGGCAGTGCTCAGGGCTCACTCCTGGCTCTGCACTCTGAAATTACTCCCAGTGGTGCTCGGGGGACCCGGTGGGATGCTGGGGATCGAACCCGGGTCGGCCACGTGCAAGGAAAACGCCTTCCCTGCTGTCCGGTCCGGTTCGACACTCCAGCCCCAGCAGTTCTGATTTCTGCCACTTCTCGGGGCACTCCCCAGCCCCGCACCCTGCAGTCGGGATGGTGGCACAGACCCCCACCCCCACCTCCGCCTGGCGATGGTGGCTTAGCTCACTGGTTTCCCAAGCCCCTGGGAGGAGGAGGAGAAGGAGGAGGAGGAGGAATAGGAGAAAGAGGAGGAGGAGGAGAAGGATGAGGAAGAGGAGAAGGAGGAAGGGCAGAAAGGGAGGGGGAGAGGAGGAGGAGGAAGACGAGGAGGAGGAAGAAGAAGAGGAGGAGGAGGAAGAGGAAGAAAAGGAGGAAGAGGAAGAGGAGGAGGAAAGGCGGAAGGGGAGGGGGAGATAAGGAGGAGAAAGAGGAGGAGGAAGAAGAGGAGGAAGAGGAGGAGGAGAAGGGCAGAAGGGGAGAGGGAGAGGAGGAGAAAGAAAAGGAAGAGGAGGAAGAGGAGGAGGAAGAGGAGGAGGAGGAAGAGCAAGAGGAGGAGGAGGAAGAGGAGGAGGAAGAGGAGGAGGAAGAAGAGGAGGAGGAGGAAGAAGAGGAGGAGGAGGAAGAAGAGGAGGAGGAAGAGGAGGAGGAGGAAGAGGAAGAAAAGGAGGAGGAGGAAGAAAAGGAGGAGGAAGAGAAGGAGGAAGAAGAAGAGGAGGAAGAGGAGGAGGAGGAAGAAAAGGAAGAGGAGGAAGAGGAGGAGGAGGAAGAGGAGGAGGAGGAGGAGCAGGAGGAGAAGGAGGAGCAGGAGACACTGGTTCCTGCTGGCAAAGCTCTGAGGCCAACTGTGAGACCACCCGCAGGACCCAGGCGGGGCGGGGGTGGGGTGATGGAGCGCACTGTGGGGGTGGTGTTCCCCAGAGATCAGTATTGATTGACGATTGGCAGTGGCCGGTGTCTGGGTTTGGGATGTGGGACGCTGACGCCCGTGGACTCTAGCTGAGTGGTCCCTGCTCACGCCAGTCGGGCTGCACGACTCTTGCCCGGGGCGCCCTGGGCGGGGTGGGGGGCTTGGGGTGAGGCGCAGGGCAGCTGGGGGGGTGGGGGTGGCCGGACCGGGCCAAGTACTCACCCCCCAATTCTGGCTCGGGGTCCGGTTCTGCACCTGGAACTCCAGGCGGCTCTCGATGTAGTGGGACGTGCGGGGGACGGTCCAGGTGATGTTGCTGCACAGGTGGGTGTCTCGCAGGGCGACTTGGAGGCAGTCGGGAGCGAACAGGCGGACTGGAGGCCAGAGAGGGAAGGAAGCTCGGGGCGGAGGCTTGGCGGACCAGCTGGCCACTCCAGAGCCACCTACTCCGAGAAGCCCTCCCTGACCGCCCTCTATCTTCTCACCCGTTTGATTTTCCTCCCGAGCCCTCAGCACCACCCGGCCAACGACCCTCGTGGGTTCCTTAAGCCTATTCTGGCTTCCCAGACAGAGATGGGGATCTCGGGGGTCTCGGGGGTCCCTACCGGGTCTGCGAGGGGCACGTGAGTCAATCTCTGCTGAACTGAATGGAAGAACGAGGCGCTTTTCTCCACACTCAGATTTGATCCAACCACTTAAAGGCGGATCAGCTCATCCCCTGGGCCTTCGTAGAATGAGAGGCTACCGGAAGACCTTCCCGGCAGGGGGCGTGAAGCAGCTTTTGTCCTGGCCCACAGATACTGACAAGGAGCCGTATCACTCGGGACCCACGGCCCACTTTACAGATGAGCAAAGTGAGGCTCAGACCTCCAGTGAGTCACCGGTCAGAGGGCCACAGTCTTGGGGGGGTGCATTTAGAGTCCTGCCTGGGTCTCGCCCCCTTCTTCCCTAGACACGGTCCCCGAGGTCTGGGGGTACCCCGCTCTCAATCAGCAAACCTTCCCAGAGCACCTCCCAGATGGGGCCCGGGGCTGGACACTCAGGATGGAGACAGAGCGAGATCACTGTCCAGGGAGGGAGCCCACCCCAACCTCAGATGGGAACAACCCCCAACGAGAAGGCTCGAGGGGCGGGGAGAGTCTGGGAAGGCTTCCTAGAGGAGGTGACTCTTGGAGGGTGAACAGGGAGAGTTGGGGTAGGCAGCGGGATGTGGACAGACATAGTGTCCAGAGGGCTGGCCCTGGGCGTGGCAAGGAGATGGACCTAGGCGGAGGTGTGAGGCCCCGGGAGGCCGGGCTCGGGGCCTGAGCAGACCCCAAGGCCTGGGAAGCAGCGGGGACTTCCATGGGGCCAGAGAGACTTGGGTATGAGACCATAGCAGGGAAGGGGGGCCAGTGGAGCCACAGCACAGAGGGGAGGGGGTCTGCCTTGCACGTGGCCGACCCAGGTTCGATTCCCAGTCTCCCATATGGTCCCCCGAGCACCGCCAGGAGTAATTCCTGAGTGCAGAGCCAGGAGTAACCCCTGTGCATCTCCAGGTGTGACCCATAAAGAATTTAAATAAATAACAATAAATAAATTAATAACAATAAATAAAATAATAAAATAATAATCCTCAAAATAAGTGGCTTTAAGAAAAGGACGGGGGAAAGAGAGAGAAGAAAACTAGCTCCTGGGCTGGAGCGATAGCACAGCGGGGAGGGCATTTGCCTTGCACGCAGCCAACCCGGGTTCGATTCCCAGCATCCCATAGGGTCCTCCGAGCACTGCCAGGAGTGATTTCTGAGTGCATGAGCCAGGAAGAACCCCTGAGCATCGCCGGGTGTGACCCCAAAAAGGAAAAAAACAAACAAACAGAGCGGGAAGAGGAGGGAGAGGCCAAGGGAGGTGCCCACCCGCCTGGCGCCACCCCCCACTCACGGCGATCAAAGGGCCGGAAACTCTGGTTGGTGACCGTCTTCCAGCCAGCGGCCGCCTGGCACTCCACCCGCATGCTGACGTTGTCCGCGGCGGTCAGCTTCTGGGCCTGCGTGGGCGGGGGGCAGGGAAGGGGGCGCTCAGGAGGAGGAGGGGCCCAGGAGAGGGGCACGGAGCCCGCACACGGAGGGGCCCCTCCACAGCTCACTGTCCACGCAGGCTGGGCCACAGTTTCCCCCTGAAGGGTCAGGCCCCACGGCTTGGGGCTTTGTGCCCCCCATGGGTGAGACCCCCGCCTCGTGGGCCTGTGAAAGCAACCATTATGCCAAGGGCCGGGCCAGGTGTCAATAAAACTTTATTTATAAACCCAGGTGGCAGGGAGTACTTCTCTGAGGGACCGCAACAGTTGGCCAACCCCTGGTCTAAAGTGAGGTGAGGGGCCAGAGAGAGAGGTCAAGGGGTTCAAGTTCATGCCTGGCATGCGGCCATCTTTTGTTCCAGCCCTGGTCCCCCAGCACCTTGGTGCAGTCCTGAAGGACCCGCAATGTGCCTCAGCTGACCCAAATAATCCCGGTATCTCAGGTGTCGTGTTGGATCTTGCCTGGCTGGGTGAAAATCGTAGGCAGGGCCACGCGGCTCCCTCTGCATTGCTTGGAAGCCCCCAAACAGAGTGAGGTGGGCTGCCTTGGGAGGAAGAGAGCTCGCCCGTGAGAGGGAGGAGCAGCACCCCAAAAAAGAGCTGGTCTGGAACGGGCTCATTTCATGGCTGAGTTGGGGGGGGCTTCCCTCCTCCCCGCGCCTCTCCCCACACTCAGAATTTTCTGGGTTTTTTTTTTCTGCCACACCCGGCAATCTCGGGGCTTACTCCTGGCTCTGTGCTCCGGAATCACACTCATGGTGGTGCTCCGGGCACCCTATGGGATGCTGGGGATGGAACCCGGGCCAGCTGCGTGCAAAGCAAACGCCCTCCCCACTGGACCGTCACTCCGGCCCACTCGGACTTTTCTGGCTCCTGAGCGTCTCTGGTGGTTTTGTCTGGCTGTTTTGGCTTTGGGAGCCAGACGCAGTGCTCAGGGCCTGCTCCCGGCTCCGCCTCCCAGGACCGTCCTAGTGGGATGGGAGGACCACGTGGGGCGCCAGGATCGGAGGACCTGGGGTCTCTCGCTGGTGGACACTCCGGTTCCTGGAGCGAGTTCCCTGCCCTGCCCTGCCCTGCTGAACTTGTTGTTGTTGTTGTTGTTGTTGTTGTTGTTGTTGTTGTTTTGCTTTTTGGGTCACACCTGGCGATGCACAGGGGTTTCTCCTGGCTCTGCACTCAGGAATGACTCCTGGCGGTGCTTGGGGGACCATATGGGATGCTGGGAATCGAACCCGGGTCGGCCATGTGCAAGGCAAACGCCCTCCCCGCTGTGCTATCACTCCAGCCCCACCCTGCCGAGCTTTTGGTCACTGTGTTTTTCACTGGGTTCACTCCCCCCGCTTGGTTGAAAGCAGACAGGTACAGTGGGACCCACAAAGTCTGGAGGAAACAGCGGGAACATCTAGCTCCCCCCTTCCTCCGCCTGCCCTCAGGCCACCCTCCACTTGCCCCCCCCCCCCACCCCTCCCTCCACCACTCACATCTGGGTTCTGGTCCAGGATCAGGTCACAGGCCCAGGATGCTGGCGCCACAGGGAGCAGCTCACACGTTTTCTGCCACTTCCTGTCAAGGCAAAAGAAGCCCCTCAGGAGACAGGGGAAAGTGCCCGGGCGGGCCCATGGGAGCCAGACGCCCCCTGCTCAGGTTTGTGGGAGAGGAGCTGTCAGCCAGCAGGAGAGACACCCCCTCTCCCAGCCGCCCCTCAGCCCTGCACGAGCCAGCGATCTAGAAGATGGACCAGCTCCCAGACTGAGCTCGGGCGTTTCCGAAGGGGCTGAGAAGCCCATAGGATTGCCCTACCCCGATCCCCAGAGCTGAGGAAGCAGGCAGGTATATGCATGCAGACACACAGGACACACGTACATGCAGTCACACCTACACGCATGCACACAGACACACATGCACACAGACACACACACACGGACATGCATGCATGCATGCATGCATGCAGACACACATGTACACAGATAGACAAAAATGCACACAGACACACACTCACTCACAGACACACATGCACACGAACATGCATGCGTGCAGCCTTGCACGCACACAGACATATATGTACACTTGCACACCGCACTCAGACATGCACACCGGCATGCATGCAGACACACATGTACACAGATAGACACACATGCACACAGACATGCAGACATGCATGTAGACAGGCACACAGATATAGACACATATGCACACAGACACTATGCATGCAGACATGCATGCAGACATGCCTACAAGCATGCACACAGACACACATGCACACAGACACACACATGCATACATGCATGTACACTTGCAGACATTCACGCAGACATGCGTGCATGCGTGCATACATGCGGACATAGGCACACACACATGCACAGATACACATGCACATAGACACATTATGCACACAGACATGCAGACAGGCACACAGATACACAGACACATAGTAACACAGGCACGCATTCATGCAGACACATGCATGCACACAGATATGCACACATGCATCCAGACACACATGCAGGCATGCATGTGGACATGTAGGAACACACGCATGCAGGTACACATGCATGCAGACACACACGCAGACACACGTGCATGCACACACACACACCGTTCTTTGGGCTTGGCAACCAAGCGGCAGGACGTGTCCGGCAGGTCTCCAGCTGGGCTCCAGACGCAGGAAACGTTGGCTCTGGAGTTGTAGAAGCAGGAGAGTGCGTCTGCAGGAGAGACGAGCGTGAGTGACACCGCGAGGAGCCCCCGGGGAGCGCCCAGCAGCGTGGGCAGCGGAGGGAGGTGGACGCCCGCTGGATCTCACGCTCTCACGCCTCCTCCTCAGTGCATGGACCTTCTTCCAGAAGCAGCACCCGAAAGGGGTTTCAAGAAGGGCCCTGCACGCACTGACCCGGGTTCGATCCACCTGAGCCCAGCCAGGAGTGACCCCTGAGCACTGCAGGGCGTGACCCCCCAATAAATAAAAAGGCACGCATGCACACAGACACACATGCAGATGGGCACACACGCATGTATGTATGACCCCCGCCCAAGGGAAGCTGAGTGGCGCCAGGTCCTCACCGTGGGCTTCTGTGGCCGCCTGAGAGATGACCACGGGCAGGAGCAGGAGGAGAGGCAGCCGCCAGGGCTGGGGAGGGGCCATCACACCAGCGGGTGGGAGCTGGGGAAGGAAGGGGGACACGTGAACCCCAGCCCGTCTCCGTCCCCCCAAGCCCCCTCCCGCCAGGAGCTCACTCCTTTGCCTGGGAGATCTGGGGGCCCACACAGCATCCAAGGGGTCCCGGACAAGCCCAAGTCCCCGTTTGGAAACTGGGGAAACTGAGGCACAGGTCTGGAGAAAGGGTGAGCGGCGCTAAGAAAGTTTTCCTCTGCCCCGCCGCCCACTTCGTCGCCCCAACGGCGTCCGTCCTGAGGAGCCTACACGCCGTCCGAACTAAGCGAGCCCCAGACACGCACTCTCCTCGCCCTCCCCTCTTGACGAGCCCACCCAGACCCCAGATGCGAAGCCACCGCCCACGTCACACAGCCACAGTACAGGTGGACACGGCAGCAGCCACGCTCGGCGGTGGCCTCTTCCCAGGACCTCCCCTGACAGCCCCACAAACCCCAGCTGCACCCAGGTTAGTGGCTACAAACCCCTGTGCTCCCTGCAAGCCGTGTGGGTGTTCAGAGCACGCAGACACTCATGCATCCACACACATGAACACATAGGCCCGCGTGTACACGGATACACATGCACGCAGACACATGCGTGCACACAGGTACCATGGGCTTCGTGGCTGTCCGAGAGATGGCCACGGGCCAGGAGAGGCGGACGCCGCGCTGGGGAGGGGCTGAGCTCTACAAACGCTCGCGTACCTGCTGGCTCAGGCCCCGGGAAGGGGGAAACTGAGGCTCCAAACCACCACGCACCAGAGAGGCAGCTCTGTGGGTCCCCCCAGGCTGCACCCCAAGGACGTCTCTGCACCCTGTCCCATGCCTGGACCCCATGGGTCTGCTTGCCTTTTTAGGTAACTCATCCCCCCCATAGCACAGACTTGAGACCCCAAAGAGTGCAGCCAGCCAAGAGGCTCCCGGGAGCCACCCCAGCCCCCCTCCACGCTCGTCCATGCCCTGAGGTCTAGAGGAGCAGCCCCAGGTCATCTCCCAGCGGGCAGGACAGCCCCAACCCTAGGGCCAGAATCCTCTGACGAGGGGAGTGGGGAAAACAAAGCAGGGCGAGAAAGCAAATCCGGAGGAGCAGGAGTGGGAGCACTGTGTGCTGAGCACCAGCAGCAGGTCTGTGGCCCTGGGTCCACCCACCGGTCAGCAGGCCAGGGAAGCTGAAACCTCAGGTCTAGAATGTGCTTCCAGCCGGGCGTCTCCACAGGGAGGGTGTGCAGGAATACCCCCGGAGGGTAGAGTGCGCAGGGCAGGGGCTGGGGGACATCCGCCAGGCTCAGGCTGGGGGCGGTGCTCCCGGGGGCACCCGCCTGCAGAGGAGGAAAGCAGCGTCAGAGATGTCGGGGAACCTGATCAAAGCCACACAGCAGAGAAGAGAGCCAGCCCACGGCGCCGGAGGCTGCCCCCCCTACACACACACACACACACACACACACACACACACACGCACGCACGCACGCACGCATACACACACACACACACACGCGCGCGCGCACACACACACGTGAGCCTGGAACCTCCCCCCTCAGACTGGCACTGTCCTCTCATTTGACACAGTCTCCCAAGGTGGCCGGGCCCCAAGTCACAGGACTGGGGGTTCTAGCGGGTGGGGGAGGGATGGGGAGGGAGAGGGGCTCCCGGGTGCTCTGACGAGGAGGCTGATGTCACGTGACCCTGGTGCCCACGTCCAGGTGGTGGTGGTGACGTCAGTGGCTGGTGCTGATGCGAGAGGGATGTGGGGAGGAGGAGGAGGGCGGTGATGACTCACCCCAGCCCACGCTGCCATGAGCCGGAGCCCACACGGCCCCGAGGAGATGCGTCCAGGCTCCTTTCCTTGGGGGGAAAACTGGGCCGCAAAGACTCTTCCCAGGGGGCGGGGCAGCCTGGACCCGGGGGCAGTGTGGGACGGGGCCCACCTGGGGACGGGCTGAGAGGGATGCCCCCACCCTGAACTGAAGGTCCCACCTATATCCTCCTCCTCCCTGCCTCTCCCGACTCAGACGCACTGACACACACACACACACACACACACAATACACAGACTCACAGACACACACAATACACAGACTCACGGACACACACAATACACAGCCTCACAGACACACACACAATACACACACAGACTCATAGACACACACAGACACACAGACACAGACGCACAGACACATGCAGACACACACAGACACATGGACACACGGATACACGTGACAGACCCGCAGACGGATACGCACAGACCTACAGACTCACTCAGACACAGATACAGACACACACACACACAGCCTCACACATGCCGGCACACACCGAGACAAACCCACGTGCATGGGCACACACACAGGAACACACAGGCACACACAGTCACACACGTGAACATGCATAGACACACATGAACACACACAGAGACTCACAGACACCCTCATGGACACACAGACACACGGACACACACAGGGCCGGTATCTTGCTGCTGAGAGGGGGACCTGCCCATCTGAAAGGGGGAAACAGGGACCCCTGGGGTGACACGCTCTGCTCCCCGACAGTGCTCCCATAGTGCTCCCTGACAGTGCTCCCCACGGCTAAAGGCAGAGGCTGGACCCAGGCAGCAGAACCTCAAGGGGTGTATCTGCAGGGACAGATGTGAGGTGAGGCCTCCAGCCCCCTGCTCCCTGCGATCCCAGCCCAGCCCCTCCCCACCCACCCCTGCCCGGGGCAGGGCCCGCCTCTCACCCACATCCAGCGCCCGTCTCCGAGGCTGAGCGGCCTCCTTGCCTCCTTCTCCAGCCCAGAGGCCGCTCCCAGGGTGGGCCGGGAGGGAGGAGCAGCCCGGCCAGAGCCCTTGGCCCGAGCCCTTCCTCCCGGGCACTCTGCGAGCAGGTGGGGTGAGGGCGGGAAGCGCGGGCCGGAGGCCTCCCCGGGGCTCTGAGTCACGACCGACCGAAAGTCGCCGTGACCTTCCCTGCAGCCCCCCCTACGCTGGTGGCAGAGCCGGGGAACCCAGGAGCGGGGGGCAGGGAGGCGCGTGGGGGTCACCTGGCTGGGACACAGCTGCCACCTGGGCTCGGCGGGTCGCTGCTGCCCGGGGGGCCCGCGGCCATCGCCCCGATGCGGCTCACTCTGGCCCAGGTAGCGGAGTCGGGCTGTGGGCGAGACTCGGAGCCCAGGGCCGCCCACTTCCTGCGCCTGGTGGGGAGTGAGTTCGGGTGGGGGGGGGCGGGGGATCCCGAAAGTACCTTGAGGCAGATAAAGATCTCCCTCCCGGGGTGAGCGGGCGGGAGGGCAGGGGGCACCGGGCACGCGGGGAGGGGGGTGCACAGGCTCACACGCCCCCTCACACCTCCCTGGGTACGCAAGGAGGTCGGGGACAGGAACCTCGTCCCACCACCCCACTCCAGGTCACCTCAAGCCTCTGAGGCCTCCCCAGGGTCACGCCCTCACCTGGGGGCCGCGGGCGCCCCCGTCTCTCTGTTCATGGTGGGAAGCGGGAGGCGAAACTCGTGCTGCTGTGTTGGAAAATTAGAACCAGCAGCCAAGTTCCCCTGCGTGTGGGGGGGACCCCAGAGGAGGCTCTGCCTGGTTGGGCCTTTGAGCACTTTGGCATCTTCTGCTTGAACTCGGGGGTTTGCAGGGGAGAGGGATGGTGGGATGGCGAGACAGACCCGTGACGGGGCCGTGGGTCAACACGGGCCAGGGTCGTTCCAGGCGTCCCATCCTCAAGGCCTAATCTTACTCCTTTGCCTAATCTCACCCTAATGCTCCCTGGATACTCCCCAAATCAGCCACCCCCCACTTTGAGACCTCCCAGAATGCTCCCAAAATTCTCCCAGACCCCTTTTAGCGCTCATCTCGACCACCTCTGAGCGCCCCCTTCTCCCCCAGCCTTCCAGAGGCCAGCAGCGCCCGCCTCGCAGACTAATTTGCATGAAGGTGCCATGTTCAAGCTTACAACTCCGACATCCTCGGCAACTGGCTCCTTCCTCGTGGACCAAGAGAGCTGCGGGAGCTCCGTCTATCACATCTGTATCCCTGCCGCCGGGAGAAGGAACCAGGACTGAGGAGGCCTGAGGCACCTCCCCCCACCCCCCACCAAGGATGCCCTGGACTGCCAGCCCACTAGAGATGAGTCACACGACCAGCCCGGCTGCAAAGGAGCCTGGGAGACGTGATGGGGAACGCCGTCTGAAAGTCCTTCACCGTCCTCTGCCGTCGGAGGGGCCTCCCGCGTCCCCCAACCCCCTTCCTCCCGCCCTCTCCCGTGCCACTCACGCCTCCTCTACTGCTCGCAGCCGCAACTCCCAGGTGCTAGGAGCTGGGCTTCCTGCCTATAGAACCCTGCCGTGCCCGTTGACTGATTTCCGTGAGGTACCTGAGCAGGGGACTGTCCCTCGGCCTCCAGGGACGACCTCTTGTCATGATGCCGCCCCATTTCCGAGCCCAAATATGGCCCATCTCCCCGTCAACTCAGTCTCTCTGCATCGCCACAGCCCACCTCCCCCCACCTGGCTTCTCCACACCCCCACCCCCATGGTCATCCCCATACTATGAGGGGTCACTCGAACCCCACTGTCGTCTGCTGCTGGCTTTGTCCACCTGACAAAAGTCCTGCCTCTGGGTCCTGCGGCCCAGGGGACCAGCTGTCCCACCCGCCGGGACTCGAGGCGAGATCTCCAGGCATCCCAGTGCACCGGCTGGGGACGGTCACCCCGTTCCCAGTTTCAACCTGTCCTTGGGCGGAGAGCAAGCCCTGGGCGGGAGTAGGGGAGGACTAGGCAGCCCCCCCCATGTTCCCTCCCTGGCACTGTGTTCCCCTGAGAACTGCCAGAAGTGAGCCCTGAGCACAGAACCAAGGAGTAAGCCCTGAGCAGGGCCGGGTGTGGCCCCAACACCCAAAATAAAATAAACTAGAATTAAAAAAAAAAAGGAAACTATTTTCCCCTGAATTCCCACCTCCATGGGGTCGGAACCCAGGGATTCCCCAGTACGTCTGCA